AATTTTATAACATTATTGTTCCGTCTGACGTATTGTGAAATAGACCGTGTTTGTGTACATATAATCAACGCGGTGAATACACCATCCTTCTTGGAGGTTCACATACATCTGGAAACTTAATGTAAAAGTGACATTTAATTCCGTGAAGAATAGACAGTTGAAAATATCGGCCTATGTGTTGACAGAGTTACTCTTAACATAGTTAATCCCCTCAGTAATCGTTTCTCATGTATACATATATTAAAATACGATCAGAATTGTGATCGTTTTAGATATTGGCGTAGTTTCGTGTATTTTCATCAACAGAACTCATATTTTCAATTAAAAGACCCGCGCTCTATTTTTTTTTTTTTTTCTAATTTAAATATTCAGCTATTTTCTTTAAAGGGAGACGACTTTAAGCTGTAGCATGCATAACAAAGGCCATGAATGTATGAAGGACGAGGTCAAGATTTCTCCTTATTTAGGACCAATACAGAAATTGGTAGTTACGTAACCATAGTGTTAAAGCAAATATGACCAAAATGTTAATATTAGATAATCTACCACATCCGGTTTGAGAGTAACAATCCACATCCGGTTACAAACCCCAGGAGGTTTCTATAGAAACATATCTAGAAGTCATTGTCTGATCTTTGATAACATGATAGTATTAATTTGTTCGTAGGTGTTTTCATATCGTATAAACGACAGTCGATGTGGAATAGGTTGTCGGCAGACACTTACTTACTCCTGTATAACACGGCGCAACATTAGCATTTCAAAGGAAAACCCAGTCTATGTTTACATGGTACAAGCAAGAGCCATACATATGAAAATGAAAAGCCTGGCAATTTCCGTTATCCTAACAATGTTGATTGTTTGTTTGTTATTTTTTTGCATTATTTATTATTAGTATTATTTCCAGTCAACAGTTCTGAAATATGACGTTATATTATCTAAGTCTCGACTAAGGAGATATTTATGCATTCATTAAATTTTTTTTGCTAAAAGGAAATCCGAAATTGGATTTAAATGATATTTGAATAGCTGAAAGAAGAATGATATGATTGATTTAGTGGAGACCTTTCCACCACACGTCGGATAAACACGAAATCTTCACCAGAGACAGGTGCCCACTGGTATACGAGCTCTCACGTAAACCCATTAATTAACAGAGTTTACAGAAGTTGAGATTGGCCTAATTAGAATATATCTATTAGATGGGGTCAGGGTGGTACTTCGTCACGTGTCGGACTAAATGAAACGGAATCAAACTAGTGGAGGATATTGAGTTCAAACACTTTTTCTCGATCAAGTGTCGATTAAATTGTTTAAATCTGTTTGCTCGCTCGGCATTCTTGTTGATAACAATAAATAGTTAAGTTTGCATGTTTTATAAACAAACTTTGATGATGTAGATTTTTTTTGTTTTATGTTTGTAAGGTATTCGCTTTTTTTTAAAACTTATTGATAACCGATAGACTCTGTGAATTTTGGTGAAAGCTAAACTCCGGAGTTGAAATAAATCCGGATCTTTTTGATCGGCCAGGGAACCTAGCTTGATCCATGGGCAAAAGCTCTCCTTATCTTTATTAGATATTATGTGTAAGTTTGTATGTAAACATGTAGACTTTCTTTTAACACATGGTCAGTTTAGAAACCCAACAGGAAGCTCACGCAAGCCCATGTCTGCAAATATTTACACGTGCTCTAGGAACCATTCAGTACCCGCCTTTGAACGTCGAGTATGCAGTTCACATGTAAAATGCTTCGCTATCCTGAGCCATCTGTTACTACAGACTGTGAGAATTGGCTGGGATATTTTTGGTATTTTATGAACTACAGATAATACGTTACTTCGTATCATACGAGAGACGATTTCAAAGATTTAGGTAACACCAGTTTCTTTTATCGTTTCTAATAAGTCTGGTTTTCTACTTTAAAATCCCCAAAGTGTATCTACATATGTTTTGTATATAGCAAGATTTAACTCTTGTTTTGCAAAATTTCGAGATATCACTTTTCATATCCCATTAATAACATAAATTCCATTTTTCTTACAGTCAGGTTGTAATCAAACGTGTTTTTAACTTTCAACGCATTTGTTACATAATCAAACGGTTCTAAATCTAGAACAATCAACCAAATATATAAGGAGCACTTTGTAAAGATAGCCTTCTGTCTCTTTCTATATTCCATCCATTGTTTAAAACTTTTGGGTCTGACTTTAAATATGTTTTAAAAGTTCTTTTGAATCTAGTGAAACTGTAATAAATGTTTCCCATATGCTGTTAAAATGGGGCTTTAAGTTTAATTTTAGACAGCATCTCTCGTCTCGGAGTTTATAGGCATACTCATTCCATTTAAATGTAATTCACGTTGGCGTGTACATCTAATAACGATCTAACACGTGATATCTGTTTTAAAATTACGTGATGAGGTAAAATTTGATTTTAAAAATTCCTCATTGACTTGTTCCTGATGGTAAATGAATATTTTCTTATCAAGGGTTTTATGTTCTGGATTTCAATAACAAAACCTTATCATATCACTTCAAAATATATGCAGCTCTATACTGAAACACCATTCACAAGTGTAAGATTTTTGATGTACATCACAGCCGATATGTATCCAGAGTAACGAGATCTCGCGATGTGCTGAAGTTGTTTTTAATTCCCAGATCTAATGACGAATAGCGCCACCTAGCGGTATGTTGTACAACACCTATAGTGGAGTGTATTTACATCCCATGTTTACATGTGCTGCACTGCACTTATTACACTGGCTTATCACCAAACACATTCTAGCGTTATAATACTGAATAAGAACATCTCTCCCCCTCCTCTAGCCCCTCTTTCCCTCAAGATCTGTTTCTAATCTCCACACCACACCCTTCGTGTATAAAACCACCAAGATAACAAAAGATATTACATTTACGACACCGCCATTTTGGGGCATTGCTCAAGACTTGTCGTATTTTCGAACCACCACTTAAATGAAACACGTTGTCTACATCATTCTTTATTTTGTGTACTGAGGCCCCGGGTGTTTCCTGAGTGATTGAAACAGACAAAACTATTGTATATCTTGAACTAACTCGCGCGTGCGATCCACCGGAGAGCTAAAAGTGAAACCTCCAGAGTAAATTACCCCTCCCTATGGTGTCACGTGCCTGGGGCACGAGACTCCGACCCCTGTCTGGCACGTGCCACACAGCTACACAGCTTTGTAACATTAAACATACCTCGACCCCTGCTAGGTCCCAACATTTGGTTTGGTTTTGAATATTTTTAGAAAAATATACATGTCTTTGAAATTTGTTGTAAAGTTGATCCCAGCATGCGGACCCATCATAACCTATCTGGCATATACCTCGTGATGCGTGCGAGATCTGGACCCCTTATCGTGTGCTGTCAGCATGTGGAATACAGTCACTTATACTTCGCTAGTTTCATTGAGTTAAACTTCGTCATATTTAAACCAACTGGGCACTAACTATGTGTTAACTCGAGACCTATTGGGAAAATGAAACAGTTTACAACAGGCACGTCAAAAGCAACAATGACTAAAAATAAATTCCGTATTATCAATGACAGATTTAGAACATCTGCTCTTCACCAAAAAAATGCTGTCTAACGTACGGACTTACCGGTGAAAAATATCCGGAGGGTTTTGAAACTCATTTGCAATTAACAGAAATATATAATTAAACCCTTAAGTAAACTGGTAATGATTTAAATATAAACATGATATGCATGAGTTGGTGATGGGTCTACGTGTGTCTAAATCAAGGAACCGGTGAAGAGATTTTAGAACGCTTGACTACAGTGTCTAATGCAGGGGTCGTAACCAGTGACCAGAAGTCCGGACGGTGTTAGTAAATAACGTAATGGACGTTTTAGTAGTAAAACACCCCAACTTGTCTCCACAACGTGTGCAGCATCAACACGCCACTCTATGTATGGTTTCAACCCAATCACCCCTAAATCTCACAAAAGAAATCAACCATCCATTGTTTAGACTATTCGAAAGAGTTTTCTAGGGGTGAAAGGGTTATTTAAAAGAAACAAAGACCACACAGGGGGTATGATAATAAACAGAAATTTGTCAATAGAAAACTGCACTGTGAATTGTTTCGAGAGAAAAATGCCAAAATAAATCACAGTAATTTTAAATACAGCAAATCATTCCATGGCCTACAAAAACACCCAACATTTATGATAACAACTTCAAAATTTCAAAGTTCAATTACCAAAAGGACAAAGTAGAGTATTACATAGGATACCACACTCTGTACAAGCAAAAGGAACGAAAGTTTGAAAAAAGAAATGACCAAAAATACACATCAAACGTCACAGTCAAACAGCCAATCAGAATCACCGTTTTATGTGTTGTTTGGGGCGAGCCCTGTGGCAGGTCGAACATTTTTGTCCGGAAAAGGGTACCGAGCCCTATTCCGGATGTTAATGACTGCACTTCCGGTTGTAGCGGTATCACTGTCACGTGACAACTCAGTGGAGTTTATCCTAGCCTCTATAAATTGATAAAAGACATACTTGATCAATCCCCGGTCAATTTTCACTTCTAAATACATCAGAATTAGTGATAAATCGCTATTTTAAACCGTATTTCAAAGGCCCAATTCACAAAACACGGTCCCACTTTATACAACTGTAGGTCAAGATTTGCAGTTCAACAATTCCCTGCTAGAAGTTATAGATCATAATTCAAATAAATGGTTTGGTCAATAAATTAAAAAAAAGTGATTGAAATTAAAATGGATGATATATGCATGTCTGAATATTAAGCGGATTTCACTTTTTGACAGTAACGTAAATGTTTCTGAGTACACGATATACCTATAGACTAGTGCTAAACTCCCTACATATCCCTCCTGACCCCTAATCCTGTGTTGTCCCTCCCGTCCCTTATCTAGATTATAATCATTTTTGACTAGGTATTTTCTGTTTCGTGGTTTTAATGTGTTAGGAAACTTTCAGCAGAAAATTCAAACTTACCCGTATTGACTTGGTAGAATTCCTGGTACCCCTTTGATGGCTAAGGGGATTCCTGCCAATAAAGAATAAAAACATTTCAAAGACTTTGTAAGTATAAGACCAACATTTTTAATATTCTGATAGAATATCGAATTAGCATGTCAGGAACGAAATCTTTTGTTCCGGATTACACAAGTTCAAATGATGACGTCTACATTGCTACTTAAGTACATGAGTTTTTTTTTCGACCTCGGTGGAAGAAAAGACACTTAGCAGAGAGAGGACAGGCGTACTTGGACTCCACAATTATGAAACATTCAAGGTTTTTAAATCGTAATCATTGTCGATAGGTTAAACATGTTAGTTGATCAACATTCGTCCAATACAATATTGTGATTGATCTTCCTTCGCTATACCATAGTATCGTTACAGACCTATTTTCGGCAAATCGAGCCTTCACCTAGACTGACATGTAATCGGCAAATCTAACCTTCACCTAGACTGACATAAGTTCGGCAAATCTAACCTATACTGAACCATCATAGCGCCGTTACTGATCTAGGTTGAGTAACTTACAACCAGTATTTTGCAAAAGATGTTCATTCATGTGAGGTTTTTGGTACAGATGCTTAAGATTTCAGTAATTTTCAATTCCAAAAAGTGCCATTTACTATTCATAGTGAAGAATTTTTTTTTTTTAAAATTAAATCAATATACTCGGACGTTAGGAAATCACTGATACTTGGTTACCCTAGCTGCCATTTTGATTGCGTTGCTAAGGATGCCACGTTCTACGTTTACTGGAAACTAATCGAGCCATTCCGTAATAAATTGAAGTTGACCATGAATGAGAGGACCCAACTGGTTTCTCGGTTATAGGAAATATTCAAGTGTCATCATTTTATGTGTTCGCGGGTTAATAGCAGCACGTTGGGTTGGAGGGTTTCACAGCTGAAAATATGAAAAACTGTGTTTCTTTTTAAACCACGCCATCACAAATGAAAGCATTTGTACCGAAGTCAATGCAATCTTTACAGGGTAGCTATATATTATCAGTTGAACATCCAGTTTAAAAGTAACATGGCTGTGTATATTAAGTTCTCTTTCATATTGAAATTACCATTAAAATACATAAATCCACAAATAGAATTCAGATCAATGTAGTCACTCTTAATTAAGATGATTTCGAAAATATATCTTAATTGGATTTTTTGTTGAACTTTTAACCCTGTTATTTTCTGATTACAGATTAACGTGGGAATTAACACAAATCTCGATATATCCGGACAAATCCCGTCTGATTTTCTAAAGACCTGTATTCACAATCTTACACCCCATTGTCATTTATGTAGCTATTGAATGTTGAATGCTTACCACGTGACCTATATATTAATTTGGATTATATTTCATATCATGCTGTCTTAAATTTGGATTAAAAAAAATACGGACAGTTTTAATTCCTGTGAGCAGATTAGTGTACATGTAAGGACTTGCCATATGAAAATTACCTTTATTTGGACTATACAATTTCACGGATGACTGGCTACTCAAAAGAAACTGATTAACGTCATAACCTTAAGCGCTAACACTAGAACGTGTTGTTTGATTGACATTAAGCGAGTGATGTCACATGACGTAAAAGTAAAATTAAAACCGGTAGTGTGGTCAAATAATAGGAATGATTACAGTGGCTTTCACGAGTTATAAAACTGTTGACAATCTCGCTTCTCTGATTGCCACAACGATGTCTTCAATGTCATCACAAATATTTAATAGATTAATAGATGTTGTGATCCCTCTGACAAATGATTATCTCTCTTGTGTATGGCGTTTAAGGCAGATGATACTGCTAATATTATTATTCACAAAGGAGGAAAATGAAGACTTTTATAAACACGAATACGGAATGGTGTTGTTTTGTGTATAGGAGACGAACCACCATGTGCTTGTTGTACCTAGACCTGGATTACGTTTCAACAGAAGTTCACCACAACCAAACTCGGTATTATGATGTCTGCGGTGGGTCAATGGATCCTATAAAACATCCGGGTATTGTTATTATCAATATCCGGGTATTGTTACAATTAACAATTGTATTTATGTTGGGGAGTGTTGTCGTTATTCCTTGCAGTAACAAGGCCATACTCCGAATATCACACGAGAGCGCGTGCTGTAGTAAGCGAGTGGCACGCGCGCTCTGTGAGAGCGCGATAGTGATACTCTAATAATCTTGCTACACAACTCCAAACACACTTTTGTTCAAATATGTCAGAAATTCGCTGGAAGCCGAGTTTGGCCATGAACGTTTGCCATGTTTTCGTGTGTTGACTACAGTTGTATAAAACTTAGGACCTCTGAATTGCATTTTCTCACTCAGAGGCAACTTGAAATACGACCCCAACGTTCACACGTAAAGCTCATATTTCAGACAGTGTTAGAATCTTTATCAAAGCAGTCTTATATACATTTTCAGTGCCATTTCAAATAACTAATGACGACCTTTGACCTTTGACATAGAGTTCGGCGTACGTGTTATTGTATTTGATGGAAGAAAGGAAACTACAAAGAAAGGACCTTAAAATGCCATAGATTCAACATATGGCATACTACCCGTCCGAACCGTGTAATCTCCCAAACTTGCGGACCGACTTTAAAATACCAATCCCGTGTGCTGTCTGTTTAGCGGATCACCGGTTACACCAACTAGACAACATATGGCACTGATAATCTTAGGGTTCCTTACAGCATGATCAATTCCAAGAATCATTATTATATTTATTTCTAAGTTAAATTCCACGAGGCGACAATTTATTCAAAGAATTCGTTATCTTAAGAGTTTTTTTTTCAAAGATTAATAACAAAAACTTTCAAATGAGTATTTTTTTTTCAATTTTAGGGAAGGTGGTGTTTATATGCCACACGTTTGAAAGTTAAGATCGGCATCATTTTAAATGTTTGTGTGAAATGAACAAATTTCATCTACAGGGAGATGATGAAAATAGTTTATAATTCTAATTCGTCAGCACTTCTTATTCATGTAAACACACGCCTGTTGCACACACGTGTGTTTTTGGTTCACAATCACATCCTTACTCTCAACAGAAAATTAATTCACCAAAAATCCATACAGGATACATGTTAAGCGCATTCAACATTTTTATCAGTGTTTATTGTCGCGTACCTGCAACATGTCATACCTAACCAATTACAGGTAACTCTAATGCCAGTAAATATTATGAGTCATCCCTGCTACCTGTAATAATGGTAGACCCGATAAGTCCTTCTATAAATGGCTATTTACGCAACAAGATACAGATTTTGCACACATTTAATGCACCTGCTAGCTTTTTTTTTTTAATATTCGACAATACGAATGAAAATTGTTCAACACTGGTTATCTACATGAAATATCATATCCAGGTAAAGACACGCATTGAATTTACAGTTATACAGGTAAAAGACTTCAGCAGTTATCTTAAGTTACACAACCCGTGTATAAACTCCTAGATAACCGTATACACTGATATTTTGTTAAATTTCATTGTCAAAATATGAAATTTACATTATTTAGGATAGGGACAATAAAATAAAAATTGAAATGTATAAAATTATGATTTTAAATATCATCATCTTAGTATTTGATTTCAATTTCAGTAAGGCAATTTTATTCTGTGTTTGTTCACATTACTGACTGTGTAGTCATCGGCTCCGCTGGTAAGCACGTGTTTATCTGTATACAGGTAACTGGGTTTTAAATATAACAGTAGTGTAAGATTTAAGTGTTTGATTTCTTTACAGTTGTGTAAAACCACACCGCATACAAAATGCTGCCTTTCATACCACCCTGAACCTCAAGTCCTTTATTTCGTTTACCGGAGAGTTAAATGCCCGTACCTTTCTCAGAGAATAACAACAACGGATGCCCAAGGGGGTGGGTCATATTCTTATATTGGCAAACGCTTTGTTCGTTTTGAAGGTCTTTTGTACGCGTTTTCAAAAATTATTCAAATACATACGATTTGACACGTGAGAATTCATGAAAATTCAGTCTATATATTCTATGTGCGAATTGCATATTCGAGGTTGAGAATGTTTATAGTGTACATGCACGAGGACTAGAATACTCCACAATGTTTACCATACAGTCAAAAAGTTATTACAGCCACGTGGTCTATTGGTCGCCGAGAAATGGCGCATGTTATCATTATTCTAATTAAAACGCCACATTGTGGTGGAAGGTGTTCTACTGATGCACCAAGTTAACAAGTTAATAAACAGAACAGGTTATCCCAGAGCTAACGCTACGTGTACCTGTTCACACAGGTAATCTTATCTGCTTTCCAGGTAACTATTCACAGAAGTAAATGTTAACAGTCCTAAGACCAACCCTTACCTGTTTGGATGCCGCGTGGTTTTGCACCCAGATAAGCTAGATTAACGTTGGCTTTCCTTCCGTCGATGATTGGGTTGGGGTCCTTACAGGCCCTGTCGGCGGCCTCTCTGTTGGCCATTGTTACCTGCAAGAAGAAAGGACGACCGTTAAACCGCAATACGATAACCAGTGCTTTACCGTGTTATGCAGTCCGCGATTTACCTCAGTGGGGCCACAGAAGGGGTAAAGAAAAATAACTTGATGTTAATCATTATACCAAACAATATATGCTTAATCTGTTTTGACTTAATGAGTTTTTTTTAAACTATTTACACAATGACCGTAAACCAGACGTAAAGAATGTAATTGAACATAACTAGGGACATGGAAAATGAACTGTTTAACATGCAAAATACCATAGTCATACATGTGTATTATTAGACTCAGCACGTGCTTTGTATAGCAGCAGACTCCTGTGTGTATTAAAAGGTAATGCACGTGATTTGAAGCCTATAAAACAGTGAGAAACGACTTTAGATTTTAATCAATACTTCACATGATAACTGAATAATTTATGTGTCTACAAAGCTGTTACGATTGTCATCTTCCACGATAGAATGTACACGACCGAGCAGCGCAAGTACATGCAACATTTGTCATGTAAAACACGTGTAAATGAACACAGGAATGTGTAGACATTGTCATTTGATAAGGGACATCTTTTTTTTTGACCTAGTATAGTTAAGATCTCTTCATAATATTCGTCAGATATTAAATGACATTAACTATGTATAATTATCAAAGTAATTTAAATTTCAACTTTAAAATGAAAGAAAGAAAAATGTTCAGTCAAAATTTTCTGTAATAGATAGTAAAGGATAACTGCAGTGTAAGGCAATACTTTTGCCATGGTCGACCCGAGCCACATCAATTTAAATATATTACGTTATACAACTGTCGTGTTCGGGCCCAAATACACCAGCGACATTACTTTAATTGAAAAGGTATAAAGGAGTTCAATGACGGGTAAAGAGTTAATGGTAAACGAAATAGTCACCGTCGACGGTGATCCGGAGTAGAAAGTGCTATATATACATATATAAATAGACAACTATGGCTATCAGGTGTGTACTTTTACAGATCGATATCACAAATGTACCCAAGTATTCTTAATAATATGAAGATAAAACCGACACGAAACCAGTGCAAGATTTCAAAAGTTGACTTAAGGGTTTATGATGTGATTTGACATAAATTTGTATGTAAAGATTTTTAATCGTTTTTTTGACAATGCCTGTTTTTATAATAGTTATAACATATTATACGTCGCAAGCATTAACACCGTTATCTACTAGGGGCAATCTGCTATTACCAGCTTGTTTTATTTGGGAGGTCGTTCTAGAGAGGAAGATTTTATTACATCACATTGTGCAAAAAGACAGATTGATTCGAAACTGCGATTATCAAAATGAGAGACATATTGTTTTTCATATGTCTTAGTCAAAATATGGAAATGTTTCATAAATGTGGTTTTACGATCGACATCACAGTGGTACGTACGTTCAATATTGGATGGAGTTACCAAAACATTTATCAAAACTATTGAATCTTTCGAAAGTTTTCGATTAGCATATTGTTACATAATCAAGTTAAGATTTGTTTGATATTATGAAATGGTTACTTACGAATCCATAACCACGACTTTTGCCCGTCTGTCGATCAGTGATGACCACCGCCTCCTCAATGTCACCAAACTTATCAAAGAATTCCCTCAGTGAGGTATCCGTAGTGTGATACGGCAGTCCACCGACAAAGATCTTGGTATAAGTCGTGTCCTTCTGCTGAATAGTGGTTGCCATTGTGTAGAAGATAAATAAGATGAAATCGTAGATGAAAATATAAATTAAACTTCTCTAAAGAAATAAAAATATCCCGCACAACGTAAGAGTAGCTGTGTGACGTATTTGTTGTGTAAATACTCTTCTTAAATAACACGAGTAGAAACAATAATATCACAGCCCTATGCACTGATTACAGATGATAACTAAAGACTACGAAAAAGGGGAGCTTTGCTATCCGTAGACCGAACATACACAGTATATCCCCCGTTGGTATGTTTTTGGCACTCAACTAAACAGTGAACTGTTCCAATAGCATGGTGCTGTGTTATTATCACATAGGCCACACCCCTTGCGCATATTTTATGAAGCACGTGGAGCAATATTCATAAACTCCGCCCCTAACTCCGCCTTCCTGAAACCCCGCCCATGTTAGATATCAAGTTCACCCGCCTAGCGTTCTGTGCTATGAAGGGATATCGCCACGATGTAGTTTAAATTGATCAAAACAGATATTCAAGGTTGATTTACTTTTCATACACTTATTTTTTTTTCTATCGCACACAAAAAATGTCCATGATATGGACTGTTTTGACGAGGAGAGGATTTATCAGATGAAAACTGTAACTACACGAAATCAGCATATTTTTGTGCAGTTATTCATACGAGACTTGTACCGGTTTCTCAAGGTAGTTTACACCTGTGTGACTTTTAACGTGTTCTGGCAGAACGCCACATGGGTAACGGGAGACATCTGTTTTAACTTGCTACGGAATATGGGACGTCAACTTACTACTCTAGATTATAATATTTAAAACTGATCGTAATCTCTAATCAGCGCCTACCCTGAATTAACTCCAGACGTGGATTTCGGGTGTAAGTCCTGTTTTGTAAGTGAGATTTGGTAAGATAAACAATAGAAAGATCAGTTCACTAAGTTCTATAAATCGGATTTTTATTGTTAAAGTACTTCTTAATCTCAATCGAACACAATAGGACATATTTGCATAGGTGCGCGGTACGTTTTTTTTTGGCTAGTATTTCCACTCCTTTGTCTACAGACGCCGTTGGGAGGCTGGGCATTGTGTAATTTGTTGTAGTAACAACGACTCGGGAGTATGGACGATCAACAAAGGACGAAAGTCCAACCCTTTTTAGTGACCTTTAAGTGGCCATATCGTTGGATGATATGACTTTGTTCTTCCAGCTTATAACGTCAGAAAAATGAGTCTGCTTGTCGCTCTGAGGCGATAAAATGCACTTGTTACGCGAACACAGCACGGACTGTAGTACATCTCGTGTGCACGTGAAAGGATTGTGTATTTCTGTATACTTAGCAAACAGGGAGATTTTTGGATAATACAAAAAGCTAAAATCACATAAGGTAGGCAAAGAGTGGCGTGATTTGTTATCGACTAGTTTGCCGTGATTTTTATCGACTAGTTTGCTGTGGTTGAACAGTCGCATTAATACTAACATAATTTCAAAATTCCTAACATTGTTTGTTTCTGGAAAATAATTTGTTATTTTCAAGTAAACAGTAACTTTAGTTTTGAATTATAGCGTGGAATTTGAATCTAAGAACAAAAAAGTAACATAACAGTTCTCATCTCTATGTCTGACCTAATCTTTGATACGAACACGGGATGGAAATCCGGAATTCTGTGTTTTTGATTGATGCTAATTAATAAAGTTTGGTTTTGATGAAATAAAATTTGACACTTCTTACAGTTTTTGCTTTTGATCTTTTTTTTCATTTTTGAGTGTGTTGTGTTCTTTTGTTTTTTCTCTCTTACCCCGTAAACAAACAGAATGGGTTACCATGGAAACACCTTCCGTGCCTGCTGTTTTATCGTTTGCTGTGGTAGTTCTGACCTGAAATTGATGTTTTGAGTGTTTGAGTGTGTTGAACGCTAGAATGACCAGCGGTCAAAACTGACCATCACTGGCTTTGAAGGGTGTGGTAGTAACATGCTCACTGCGTGGTTTTTTCTTATTTCTCTAGCAACTAACTACTCTTTTCTTTCCCTCACTCTCTCCTTTAAAGTCTTACATTCCTCCTTTCAACAATTTCTTCATTTTATCTCAGTTCTTTAATCATTCTCCTCCGTATTTCTTTCCTTTCTTTATTTCTTTATCTTAAATTATTTTTCCTGATAATTCTTTATCTATCCTCAAATATCTGTTCCTTAAGATTAATCTCTTTCTCTATCTCCCGCTTACACTGCTTTAGAAAAAAGACGTTTGTGCTGTGTTTTAGAATTGAAAAATAAATGAATTAGAAGTTACAAATGTATCAAAGAATGTTCATTATGGAATAGCAGAATCAAGATCGTGGTAATATGAAAAAAAAAAAAAATAAAAACACTTTTAACAAAAACCAACCCCAACGCGAATCATGTATTTTGAGACGACATCAGCTGAAGGTGAATACAAGGTCGCTGGAGATGTATCATTGCCAGGGGTCAAGGTTGCCGAGGATCCAATGCCAAGGTTAGTACGGAACAAACATAAACAATACTAGCAGACAAGCGCGTACACAAATAACAGCGACGCATTTAGGAACTTCCAGTGTCTGCTAATTAGACCATTCAGGACTTAGCTAATAATTATGGTTCCTATTAATAGACGATACGCTTTCGAATTACGTGAAAATCACCAAAACGCATTTGGACGTCATTAATTCACATTCAAAACCAGTTGGGACTGACCTATTATCACCGTACCGAAGAAATGTCTTTTGTTACAAAATATAATCATCTACCATAATACAGCTTTTTAAGTATTTAATTAAAATGTACAATCCAACCAAGACAGTATAATAGATAAACGTTTACATCGACAAATGAATAGGGAGTAATTTAGCGAAGGTTGGCTGATGGGATCACAAAGATTTGTCCCTCGGCATTTTTCTTTATGTAAAACTCGCTTCCATGTTCATATTGAATTAAATTTCTTTGCTGTTATAAATGAAAGTGAATTGTGATATTCTGTGATATAATGGTGTGTAAAGATGTCAGCACCGACTTATTTTCCCCGTCTACTCATACGAGGAAGATTATAAGCTTAGCCACCGTAATACCAATATTTTCTATTGCATAGACACTCTTTCAGCGAAATTATAAAAGGATTTATGAACTGAAAAGAATCGTTCTCCAGACTCGTTAGATAATGACGTCATCATATTTTAATCAATTGAATGTTTGAATTGAATGGATATAACACTAGGTAAATTTCACACGTGCTTTAGTGGTTAAACAGCTGCTTTTATTGAAAACTGGTACCGAAAAGCTAATAAAACGTTAGACACAATTAAAGTAGAATTGTCATATTTACTTGAAAGCCCTGTCCAAACATTTAAGAGACGTAAACATCATAGTGTTGACCCTGAATCGAGTTTAGGTCTAATCAATAGGTCCTTTTAGAATAAACGTTTGTCACAGTGAGTGTAAACGTTTAAGATAAATAATTGAAGTTCGAGGCCTTTTATAGAAAATGTAGCATTGCCTATACAGTCTACAGGAACAGATGGGTTTCTTTAGTTTCGCCGTGTAAAAACTCACGGTAGTTTTTCATATTATTGTGACCCCGATAACAGAAAAAAATGGCCGCATTATTGTTATTTACTTTGAACCATGGCTCATAAATATATACACATCTACATTTGTATAAACAATTTCCCCGGGTCTCCGATAAAATCAAAAAGATATTATCAAATGTTGAATAACTTCACCGATCACTTCCTCTATTGTACATCGTAATGGCTTTGTCGAGTTTTCACTCAATCAATTACTGTGTTTTTGCGCGTGATTAAACACAAAGTATAAACCACTTCTTTTACTGGTCAGTTGATCAGATAACAGAGATAAATTTTGCTAATATATTCAATTTTACTGTATAAACATAAATAATTAATCATAGAGTTGTTTATTTTCCGACATTTTATACAAACTATTTTTTCTTGTACTTAAGGTGATATATTTACTTATATTGGAATATACACTTAAAAAACGTACATATCTTCATTATCATATGATTGGTAGTGAGTTAAGAAAGATTCATATCGTATTGATATTCTGAAATGCTAAGATTAACTGACATTTCTCATTGGGAGATTTAAAGTGACATATATTTCATAAACTTAAAAGCAATTTTTTGCTCCTTCCTCGTGATGTCCTAGATTTTAATCTCTCTCTAGAATTTTACCAATTTTAAACCAATTCAATAGTAAGGAGGAATTAACTCAGAAAAAATAATATGAGACTTTTTTATTTTGAAGAAGTCAGCGCTCACTGAAATTGTATAAACCAACTTCAGAGAATGAAAAATCCACTTCATGCATTTAAATATCTATTTCAACAAAACTTAAATTTCAATTGTATTTTTTGGGGGGGAGGGGTGGGGGAGGGGGGTTAAGTATGAAATTGTAGAATATCTAACTTTTCAAAAGAAGACCAATTCAGCTTCAATGTGATATGTGAAGGCCTTATAGAAATCAGTTTTATTAAAATCTAGAAACAAAAACATGGGTGTAAAATGTAGAATTAAAGGATATGTCTGTCGTTTGGAGAGATTTTACAAAGACTGTAGATATTCTCTTGAGAATATTTATCCTGTCTGGGAGCTTTGAAAGGACTATGGAAGGGTGGCTAATACAGAAATATTGTTGAGAATGTCTGGCTTTGTAGGGAACTGTACAGATGTATAAAGAGAATTTAACCATCGGCAACCAGCTCTTGTATACTAACTATCGTTGGTGTTTTGTTAGCTGGTACATTGGGAGTTTACAACGGTCTGTTTTAGTATGTAAACGTGTTGTATTACACAAAATATTGTTTAAGAACAATACATTAGCTTTTATAGACACAGAACCACACGTATTGTACACTGTTAGATTTTTGGTTCATGGCTAGACAAATGCAGCCATAGAATACAAACAAAAGGTTTACCAACTTATATAAAACACCGTTAATATCCTCAACATTGTAAAGCACAAAAAAGATGGCGGCGATAGGTTTTAGTTATATTTCAGGTTTAGCAAAATGAATATTCAAACATTCTCTATTGGCAACAAAACTCAAGCCATATTCTTTTCTCGACATCTGCATTTTGTAGATAGAATATGTTAAAATATTATCCCGTGAAAACTAGACGAAGGTAACACCTTAAGAAGGTTTTTAGTTATATAATGTGTAGATTTAGTTTTCAAGGCTGTCTATCGTCACAGCATTTGGAAGAATCATTTTGTCATTGTTTTTCCTTAAGAGTGATAACTTGAGAGAAAGTGTCGAGACTGGGTAAAGGACAATGACGTAGATTCGTCAAGGTCAAGGGTCCCTGGGTCAAACAATTCTTATCGTAATTATGACATAGCTTGTCACGTGAAAACTAAGCACGCGAAACATATTTTCACACTTTTGAAATTGATTATGTCACAGATATCATATATAATTTGTATATAAGCTGTTTATTTATATCATAAAATGTGATAGACCAACACATTTGTATAAATATCATTACTGCTCATAAGAATTATGAAATTGGCAGGATAGTAATTCACACCGTTTTTCATTATGGATACATACATAAACATGAACTTAAGTATCAATATCATTTTGCATATGAATGTGATTAAACTTTTTAGAAAGCAATTTGTAACTCATTGAAGCGAATCAGGTAAAGCACGCGCACACGGACGCGATGAAAATGTAATATATCAACCCCATACAAACGGGATAAGGAGATGGTAATTAGTGGAGTGTTCAGTAAACACGGGACTAGGACAAGGACGCTAATCAAAGACAGACAATCCGCCGGTTACAGACAAAATGTACGGGAGGGGGTCGTTCGAATTCTTCATCCGCGGCCAGTTGCTTTTGTTGGCGTGCATGTGGTCAATATTTGGCTAGCTGATGGTCAGTTAGTTTGATACAGTTTGAACAAACATGTGTTATATTTAGACTGTCCAGTCCCTTATGTTGGGTCGTTATCGGTACAACCCCCTCGGGCCCAATATGCCAACCCCTGACACACTTCAGAACGCTGTAATGAGGTATTGAAAGGGTGCGCTGTTGGACGAATGAACAATATTGGGTCGAGTGTTAGTTAAATAGGATAAATATACTGGTGTCTCTTGGCGAAACATATCTCTTACAAAACAATGGCGTTTGCAAGCATGCTGCACGTGAGTGTATCTTATTCAAACATTTGAAGTTTTCAGAATCTATACACGACTATGAAACAGTTAAATTAAACACACATGGAGTGAAGGAAATTACCATGATCACAATGGCTGTTTCATAATGACCAGGCTGTACAACAACTTACCTACACATAATTTACATTTGCATATATCCGCCAGCTTCTCTCGTAAATCTATTAAAATAAAATAGAAATTAAAAAAAGACACAAATTAAAAAATATAGTATGTCCTAGAAGATCTGAACAAAGGAATCCATCCTTCCTAGTTTTATTTATGTATATTCGCAAATGTCTGTATATTGTTTTCAAACTTCCCAATGCTTTAATGTGTTGTGTAGAAAAAAACTATCGTTTTACTACAGACTGACTTATACAAGTCCTGAAGAAACTTTCTCGTACTTTCGAGGATAACGCCGACATTTGTCATTTGGACGACCACATGTTCTCCATATATCATGCGGGGTGCTGTACATATCCCAACACATCAACACGTCACACCTCTGTTGCTATGATCGCCTTCATTTTAAAC